TAGGTCTCATCCAGTTCCAACTGAGCCCCCCGAAGCCTGATGTATGTTCTCCTAAAGGTTATTTCCGGACATGGACTGACAATTGCAATTTAGATGGAGAACCAAATCGTCGTGAACGACTACCGCCAGATGGATAAGATTTTGAAGGAGGAGCGCCAATACCTGCTCAACATGGTCAAGAAGATCCAGAAGACCAAGTGTAACGTTCTTTTGATCCAAAAGTCCATCCTCCGTGACGCCGTGAACGAACTTTCCCTCCACTTCCTTTCCCGTCTCAAGATCCTGGCCATCAAGGATATCGAGCGCGATGAGGTTGAGTTCCTCTGCAAGAGTCTCGGCTGCAAGCCCGTCGCCAACGTCGACTCTTTCACCGAGGACAAGCTTGGTACCGCCGACCTCGTCGAGGAAGTCCAGGCTTCCGGTGCTCGTTACGTCAAGATCACCGGCATCAAGGCCCCTCTGGCCGCTTACAACCAGACTGTCTCCATCGTTGCCCGAGGTGCCAACAGCCTGATTCTCGATGAGGCTGAGCGCTCGCTGCACGACGCTCTGTGTGTCATCCGTTGTCTCGTTAAGAAGCGCGCCATGATTGCAGGTGGTGGTGCTCCCGAGGTCGAAGTGGCCCACGCCCTTGCCATGCGCTCCCGTGAGCTCACCGGCACCGAGGCCATCTGCTTCAAGGCATTCGCCGATGCCATGGAGGTCATCCCCACTACCCTCGCCGAGAATGCTGGTCTCAACTCCATCAAGGTTGTCACCGACCTCCGTCACCGTCACGCACAGGGTCAGCACAACGCCGGTGTCAGCATTCGCAGCGGTGGTGTGAAGGACGATATCACAGAAGAGAACATCCTGCAGCCCCTGCTGGTCAGCACCAGCGCAATTGAGCTGGCTGCGGAGACTGTGAAGATGATCATGAGAATTGATGACATTGCTCTGTCGCGGTAAACGCCTTCGGCGGCCGCTAACGTGAGCTGTATGATGGAAAGCGATGTTCTCGCGACGAGTAATTACAAAAAATATCCCGTTTCTACAAAGAATCATTCTCAGGCTTGTACAAACTTCTAAGATTGTAATGTTGGTCGGATGTATTATGTAGTCACGTACGAGTCGGGAAGGATAATTGGGATCAAAGTGAAATGAGTTTTATCTCCTGCTTTGAGCCAATAGTTCTGTGATATTAAGGTCTTACTCTCCTTTTTCGTCCGATCAGAAATGAATAGATCAAAAGAAATCCCATAGAAGTTGCTCATCAAGTATCGCCCATTGCATGCAATATCAACCTTGAGATATAAAGCTACTTCCCGAACACCAAAATGCCGTACCAACCATCCTATTACCAATATCATTATTACCATACATACCTAATCCTAAAACCTTTCAATCTTTACAATCGAACACGGGAATCAATAAGAAGTGGCCGACGTCAATAAGCGGCTCTTTGTTGGTGCCAAGATCGCCTCGGCCCACGGGGGGTTGGAAAGCCTGCAGAGCCACCCCCAAGTTCTCGCCTTCAGGGTGCTCAATCCTGTCATTTTTCTAGGCCGGTTCTCAAGAGTTGGCGACTATATACATATACAATTGTTCGAGTGATCGCTCGTGTGCTCGCATTCGCCTCCGCCTCGATAAGAGATAGAGCGACGATCGGACGTCAGCTCGACCCGTGTGAACTCCAACCACCATGGGGAAGCTCGACGAAGGCCACCCCGAGTCCGTCTCATTAACACGGCAGCGGTCGGAATCGCTCGCCTCCCAGACATCCACCGATTCCGGCTTATCGATTGCCTCCGCGGCCTTCATGGAGAACCATAAGCGTGCCAACACTATACCGGAGGAAGGGGACGGGGAGAGATACCGCGATATAGAAGATGGAGGAGAGCCTGGCTCGGATATACCTTTATTGCCCAGCGGGAAGAAGGTAGGCTCGTCAAGTCGTTTGCGCCAGATCGTCTGGTTGCTCGTGGTGCTTTGTGTGGGGGGCTGGGTGCTTGCCTTCGTGCTGTTCCTCACGCAGAAGCGGCCTGACACCGCAGCGCTGTCATCTGTCTCAACGGTCGAAATCCATGAGCCGGATTCAGCTACTGGGGGTACGAGTTACGGGAAACCGGTGACTCTCGAGCAAGTTCTGACGGGTGACTGGCTGCCACGCTCTCACGCGATCTCCTGGATTGCAGGACCCAATGGTGAAGATGGTCTTCTCGTTGAGCGGGGTGAGAAGCAGGATGCCTATCTGCGAGTAGAAGACATTCGCAATAGCAAGGATGGCGTTGATAGCCTTGAGACCAAAGTGTTAATGAAGAAGGGCTATATCTGGGGTGATGGCGAGATCGTCACTCCAGTTAAGACATGGCCAAGCCCTGATTTGAACAAGGTCTTGATTATGTCTAACTCCCAGCACAACTTCCGTCATTCGTACTTCGGGAAATATTGGATCTTCGATGTGGCCACGCAGAAGGCTGAGCCGCTGGACCCTCAGAACCTAAGTGCGCGAGTGCAGCTTGCGGCTTGGGCACCCACTTCTGATGCGGTCGCATTTGTGCGAGAAAACAACCTATACCTGCGCAAACTAGCTTCGTCGGATGTCATTCCTATTACCAAGGATGGTGGCGAGAACCTCTTCTATGGTGTCCCAGACTGGGTCTATGAGGAAGAAGTATTCCAAGGCAATACCGGAACCTGGTGGTCCACTGACGGAAAGTATGTCGCGTTTCTTCGAACGAACGAGTCAGCGGTGCCTGAATACCCTATTCAGTATTTCCTTTCTCGGCCATCAGGCAAAAAGCCCCTGCCAGGCCTCGAGAACTACCCCGAAGTTAGCCAGATCAAGTACCCCAAACCAGGTAGCCCGAACCCAGTCGTCAACTTGCAATTCTATGATGTCGAAAAGAATGAGGTTTTCTCATTTGACATGCCGGAAGACTTTGTTGACGAGGAAAGAATCATCATTGAGATCGTTTGGGCGTCTGGGGGCAAGGTTTTGATCCGGGAGACCAACCGTGAGAGTGATGTCGTCAAGATCTTCGTGATGGACACAAAGGCCCGAACGGGAAAGCTTGTGCGATCCGACGACATTGCGGCCCTCGACGGTGGCTGGGTTGAACCATCCCAATCGACTCGGTTCATTCCTGCCGATGCAGAAAACGGCCGGCCGCACGACGGCTATATTGACACTGTTATATATGAAGGCTATGATCATTTGGCTTACTTCACACCTTTCGAAAACCCCGAGCCAGTTATGCTCACCAAGGGCAATTGGGAGGTGGTTCAGGCACCCTCCGCCATTGACCTGAAGAAGGGTCTGGTTTATTTCGTTGCTACGAAGGAGGCCCCAACTGAGCGTCACGTATACTCGGTCAAACTGGATGGTTCCGACCTCCGACCGCTGACCGACACATCTAAACCCGGCTTTTTCGATGTTTCATTTTCTGACGGAGCCGGATACGGCTTGCTCAGCTATAAAGGTCCGGCAGTGCCATGGCAGGCTGTGATCAACACTCACGGCAGCGAGATCGAATTCGAAAGTTTCATTGAGGAAAATCCGAAGCTTTCTGAGATGGTCGAGGATTTTGCCCTCCCAGCAGAGGTTTACACCAATGTGACTATCGATGGTTACACACTTCAAGTTCTCGAGCGTCGCCCTCCACACTTTAATCCAAAGAAAAAGTACCCTGTACTGTTCTTCTTATATGGCGGACCTGGTTCGCAGACAGTGGACCGCAAATTCACCATTGATTTCCAATCGTATGTTGCCTCGAGCTTGGGGTACATCGTGGTAACCATGGACGGTCGTGGAACAGGATTCATCGGGAGAGAAGCTCGATGTATTGTTCGCGGTAACATCGGCTATTATGAAGCCCACGATCAGATTGAAACTGCCAAGCTCTGGTCCAACAAGGACTATGTTGATGAAACGCGCATGGCCATCTGGGGCTGGAGCTATGGCGGCTTCATGGCCTTGAAGGTTCTTGAACAAGACGCTGGCGAGACATTCCAATACGGCATGGCCGTGGCGCCAGTGACAGACTGGAGATTCTATGGTGGGTTTCTTTCAAGGTGCTTGGGCATCTCTTACTAACATTCCATTCCTGTAGACTCTATCTATACAGAACGTTATATGCATACCCTCGAGCACAATCCCACAGGCTACGATAATGCCTCCATAAACAACGTCATGGCATTGGGCCAGAACACTCGGTTCCTAATTATGCACGGCGTTGCCGATGATAATGTTCACCTGCAGAATACTCTGGTGTTGATTGACAAGCTGGACTTGTCGAACATCGACAACTACGACATGCAGGTCTTCCCTGATTCAGACCATAGTATCAATTTCCACAGGGCGCATACGCTTGTTTATGAACGTGAGTTCCCTTCGATTGTGCACCCATACCCATGTCACGAAGACATAAAACTAACTTCTAAATCTAGGTCTTTCGAGCTGGCTCATCAATGCATTCAACGGCGAATGGCAGCGAATCGATAACCCGAAACCGGAGGAGTCGACGTGACGAACGGTCTGGCGCTCCTCATACCTTTTTTCTTATTTTCGGGATATATGTTTTTTTTTTTTTTTTAACTTTTGGCGCATGCCTCCTTGGCAGGTTAATAGCTTGCCTAGAATTGTTCGAAGTACATCGTAAATACACCATCTATACTAGGCACTTTTGAAACATTGGATGCATATTAAAATTAATTGCATATTTTGTGAATTAACACTAATAATAGATAGAGTAAAGGACAGTAGTCGCTCAGGTATGCCACAATTTTCGATGCTTCGCTTCGCAAAAACAGAACTGGTATAGAAAAACAGACAACCATATTGACAACGGGCTTTTCGTAAATACTTCCGTTGGCCCTTCGGAGGAACCAAGCCTGACACCAAACAATGCAAATAACAAATGCGGATATAAACAAAATGTAGGAGCAAAGTATACAGGAGTGCAGTATGTGCAGGTAGGGAGTGAGTATGTGAGTGTCAGAAGACACGAAAGATGGGGCCCTTAACCACTGGGAAGCAGGCCGCCAGAGCGAATGAACTCATCTCTCATGACGACGCTGACATCAGAGTTGCGGTATGGGGCGAAATCCTCACGGTGCAGGCCGCGAATCTGTTCGCGACCCGCAGTGGAGATAGAGCGGCTATGGGACTGAGGGCGAGGAGAGTGGGCGCGGCTGCCCAGGACAGAGAGGCGGTGGTTGGAAGTCCACATGGGAGATCTGTTGCCAGGGGAGCCACCAGTAGACATCATAGATTGTCTAGGAGCGAAGACGGGCAGACGAGCGAAGGACTCGGCATCGGTGGAGACGTTGCTCATACTCATGGTTGAGATATCAGACATAGGACGGTGGTAGCCACCACGACCAGGAACGTGAGAGACAGAGCTGTAGAGGGTGGAGACACCAGACACAGCACCACGGGGAATAGTGATGATCTCCTCATCGACGCCGTTTTCAATGGCGGCTGCCACGTCGGCGGGCTCGATGGGATCACCTGCAGCGCGGCTGGCCATCATCTTGGCGGACTTGCCAATCCAGAGCATCTGCTCGTGTTCACGGAGGTATCGGTCACCACTGAAGGACTTCTGGACGATCTTGCGGGTCATCATGCCGAGCTTACGGCGGTGCTCGCTCTTTGTGTACATGCGGCGGGTGATGGCTGCCACGTCCTCTGCGGTGGGGGAGTTGGTCAGGACTGGTGCGGGCTCGGTGTCGTCACTGTATTTGCTCCATTCGCCGAGCATGGCGAGCATGCCGATCTGGGCCTTTGCAAGGTTGAGGGCGTCATTGGGTGCGACCACGGCACTGAACCGGGAGAAGTCATCTGGGTCACTGAGAACTCGGAGGGAGGCACCGACGTCTGTGCAGACTACGGGAGCACCAGTGAGAGCGGCTTCGCCTAGAGCGAGAGGGAGACCCTCGGACAGAGACGAGTTGAGGAAGAGCCAGGTGTTCTCCAGGACCTTCATGGGGTCGGCAGTTCCGCGCAGTGTGACCTTACCGCGGAGACCCTTGGAGGCGATGATCTCTTGACATTCAGTGGAGTATGTTGGGGCTTTGTCGATGGCACCATAGATGTCCAGGTGGTAATCGTCGAACTTCCACTGGTTGATGATGATATCGGCAGCGAGAAGGGCGATCTTGATATCCTTGGCATACCAGACGTGAGACAACATGGTGACAGTCGGGCGCTCAGACTTGATTTCCTTGACCGGGGCGAACTTCTGCATGTCAGTGATACCGTTGACAACGGGATCAATCTTGCGACGGAAGACGTTGCGATGTTCAATTGTTCCCTGGCATGTACCAATCTCGACCTCCCAGCCGGGATTGAAGAAGTCCGCACAGGGAAGGATGATATCGGCGTGGTGGAGAGTCAGGACGGAGGTAATGCGCATCAATCCAAGCAGCGAGTTACGAACAAATGGCGAGAGCTTGCAGAGTGCAGATGACAGACACAGGTTGGTTTCACGCCAACTGATAGCGTGATCCCAAATCTGCAGAGTACACTTGCGCTTGATCTTACAGACAACGCCATATGAGGCGCTGACACTGTGGTGCGAGGCTTGGAAGGTTGAAGGAATCTTCTCAGGAACAGGGATCGAGAAAATGAAGAGATAGCGGTACCAGAGCTCCAGGGCGACATCGAGAGCGGCCAGCGTAGGAAGTTCAGTGTCGAACCACTCCGACGATGGCATGGCATTCGACATCTCCTGAGTAAGCCACAGTTCACGCCAGCTCTGCTTCACCGTTTCACTGTTCCACACTTGGGTCCAATGACGGGATTCCTGGAAGTATGTGTTGAGGTTCACCAAAGCACGAGTTGCCTGGTGAATGTCGGCCTTCGTGAGGTTGATTGCGCGCGCACCCTTAACCAAGGCTGTCAGGATCGGAATAAAGTTCATCTTGATATCAAACTCGCTGGCGGAAGTCACATTGTCGACCTCAGCATCCAGCTTGTTATGGAACAAACCGTGAGTTGGCGTTAGGAAATCCATACCCCAGAGAGGGATCAGCTTGAGAGACTGGATGTTCTGCTCGGTCTGGTGCTTGGGAACACCAAAGTCGTTCGCAGACTCGCAAATCATGTGCCACTTGATGGTTCGCAGGGAGTTGATCATGTCTCGTCGACAGGCAGAGACACCACCACCTTCATTGGGCCAGGTACCATTGTCAGCGGCCATGACGTGCAGGGTCTTGTCAGTATCAGTTCCGAAATTTTTAGAGCGAGTGTTGACAACAGCGTCACCTCCAGGGCCGAAGTTGAGCAAATCGGTGATCTTCACAGCGAGTGGAGTCCAGCTGGAGATGTTGTCGTCCAGATCGGCACTAGCCATGATGGCGTCGGCACGGAGATCCATGTACTTCTTTGCAGATCCAAGGTTACCCCAGTCACGACTGCGCCAGTATGGAGCAAGGACTCGGTCTCTGCGTAGAATACGGTCATCCATCCAGCGGACAATAATGGCGTCGAAGTCAACACGGTCCTTCCAGGCCTTCCACATAAGAGAGCGAGCACGAGAAGTTGAGACCACGAAGCGCTTCTTGGTCAATCCAAGTGTGCGGGTGAACAGGTTTGACTGGAGACTGTCGCAGTAGAAGAGGGGGTTGTCATGCACAAAGCTGGTATACTTCGGCTTGGCCAGGACACCCAGGTAATCATGCTCGATCATGGGAGGGGTCTGAACCTTCTGACCGTTGATAGTTGTGAAGATCGTGGGATGGAACTTGTGGTCATACAGCCAGCGGCTCTCATAGACATCGGCGCCCTGAACAAAGCTGGCCTCTGTAACCTTAGAATGAGGAATCCAGCGCTCAACCTTCTCGGGATGACGGCGGGGAGGCGCACACCAAGACACTGTGCAGCTGATGTGAGACAAGACGAACTCAGCGCGGAGCAGCTCATCACCGAAACGGGGGTTCTTGCGATAGTGGTACTTGAAACGGATCAAGTTACCATCCTTCATGTATGAGCCAGATTCGATGAGACCCTTTCGGTTGTACTGGACACTTTGCAGGTGATTGGCACCGGAAACGCAGCGACGGCCCAACGGAATGCGAGCCGAAGACTTGCCAAGCTTGAAGCCCTTCTTAGTCGGGGATTGGTAGTCGTAGTGGTATTCGTTGGTGACCTTGCCATCCTTGAACTCCTGCTTGACAAGAAGCAACATCTCACCGGAGTAGGTGCTGACATATTTCAGTGCCTTAACCTCCTTAGGCTCGGTCTTGTGGTCGCCTGCATAGTGGTAGATTTTGAAGCCACCGTCAATCTCATGATGCCGGAATGCCGTGAAAGTGCCGTCCAGACTTTGAACAATGACTCTGCTCTTCTTGATGTGGATAGTCATGCCCTTGGTCTCTTCCCACAGACGCTTGACGTTCTGGCGACCGTAGAATAGGAAGAATGACAAGCCTAAGTCTTGAACAACTTTGGAGTAAACCCAAAACAAGTTAAACAAGAAGACAGTAGGGACACGGACAACGGTAGGAAGGGGCTGAGTGACGTGGTTGAACTCTCTCTGGAATTCCGGGTCTGCGATCAAAGCCACGACAAAGAACTTGACCGTTGTGCCCAGCTTATGGTAGATGTAGCTCAAGGGTGTTCTGAACAGTGACAACACAAGCGGGAGCTTACGAGGCACATAAGAAATGTACTCAGAAGTCTCGGATTCCTTGGGAAGAGCGGCTTCTCCGGTTCCCCAGTGAGCATAGTCGAGAACACTGATCGCGGTGGCTGCTCCAAGGTTGCAACGAGCAACGTGGATGTCAAGATCCTTGGTGTCAAAGGTGCACAGGCTTTCCTGAAGCCATTGTCGCTGGCTGTTAGAGAGACTGCATTGTTGTCCTAAGCAACGCTTCAGTAGTACATCACGAACTTCGGTAGGCAGCTTGTCCCAGTGAATATCAGCTTCGAAACCAAGGCAGAGCTGTCGGAGAAGCTCCTTCTTGGCCCAACGAACGACGGTGGAGGTATTGGCCTCCTCACGAAGCTGTCGGGCCATGGTGTGTGTGACTCCACCGGAGACAATTGATCCTGCCAATGATGCGTATTCGTGGGGAACACCCATCATGAGCTCAGTGACAGCGTGTAGTAGAGTCTCGGCGATGACCTGGCAGTTTGTACTGATGTCAAGGCGCTCATCCAGAAGACCTCCAACACTGATGGCCAGCTTCAACTGATTACCAGTGCTGCAACTCAAAGCACGGATACCGGGTCCGAGGGAGCCTATTGGAACAAGCTCGATAACAATGTCGCCCTTTTCCCACGAGGAGATCGCAGTGTTAACAATTTCCTTGGAGGTGGGAAAGGCCTCTTCAATGCGGAGTTCCTCTCTGCGAGACGTCATAGCACTCTTAATCTCGACACCGGGGTGAACAGCAGGGTTGAGCTTGAATCGTGAGTCAGATGGAAGCAGAGAGTAGTTTTCGAAGAAAGTTTGGAGTTCCTGCTGAGACCACTCAGGGTCGGACCAGGGCGTTGTGAAGGCGTGGAAGGTCCGCCCAAGCTCGACCGGAGAGTCAACTTTGTTGGGCATACCCATCTTGGCATTCCAGATAGACAGGAAGGCAACAGTCCAAGTGGCAGCTCCAAGACCGATGATCTGAGAGTACCGGTTGTGAGGCAGGCAGAGCCTGAGAGCGATACCGACTGGCAATCCGACGCAGATACCAGTGATGAGAGGCTTGAGCGCATGAGGACCGGTGAAGATCTTGGTGTATTGGTACCAGATCAAACCAGTGTAGGCCAGAACGTAGGAGAAGAAGATGGTCATACCCTGGCGTAATGACTGGAAAGACCAAATGAGAGCAGTTGCTAGAGCCAGACTCCATACATGCCACAGGAGGAAACGGAGCAGAACCCGCCAGTAGACCTTACGACGGAGCTCGACTTCCTTCTTCTGGGCGATCCGAATATCCTTAGCAGACTTGACAGAGGTGGGAGTCTTGCTGCCAAGGGCGTCGTGAAGTTCCTGAGCCTTGGTATCAATGAGAACAGCTCCAATCAGGTAGTAGGCAAGAGCGAAGCCAACAGCCATCCGGTTCGCCTCGCTCAGGGCCGCATCGTCCACGTTCGGGTCGTACACAGCGCCAGCATAACCAAGCATGCGATCACCACTGAGCATTTGAATCCATTTATCGAGAAGGGCAATCACGAAGTAGAGAATACCACATCCGATCTCCTTGCTCGATTGGCGCCAGTGAACGAATGCATTGTGCAGACGGAGCCCCTTCTGGGAGTTGCGAAGAACGTCCAATGCGACCTTTGTCTGGATGTTCCAACCAGAACTGAACGCGATTGGGCGCGGGACATCGGCATAACGACAGTACCAGTCGAGAAGGAAGTTGGTCGACTCCCAATCCCGAGCAAGTTCGAAGACCAGCTTATCCTTGGTTGCCTTGGAGAACATGCCACGCTTTTGCTCGGCAAGGACATCCTTTGACAGGGCCTCTCTTGCCAGCTTGAGGGCAGCCGGGTCACTCATGTTCGCAAAGACCTTTTCGTCATCGTGGCCATACGCACTGATGTACCACTTGCGGATTTCAGTATCGTCAGTGCGCCGGATGTCTTGGTACCAGGTGACCCATTTGGAGGTAACCGAACGCAGGCAGAGCAAGAGCACACCGATGAAGATGTAGATGACGGCGAGATAGATTGCTGAGTCGTTGCCGGCCCAGGTGGTGATGATCGGCGACACGAACAGGATCGGCATGCAAAAGATAATGGCCTTGCGACCGGACAAAAAGCTTGATCCGGGATAGCTGAAACTAGCGAGCGAGGCAAAGGTCGAGAAGTAGATCGTCAGAGCAATCAGATAGAGGTAGAAGATTATACCAGCACGAGGGCTTCTGACGGCTGAGATGGCGACGAATCCAATCAAACCGCCAGCGACAGTGAAGGCAATACCAGCAATCAAGCGGATGAGAACGAACATGTTAGCAGCTGCAAAGGCCATTGAGATGAGGTAGTAAGGACCACCGCATGCGATCCAGGTACCAATTGCACCAGAAAGCAGCAAGGAAATCATCAAGGCCCATGTTGCGCTGTCTTGTTCTTCGTCGCTCATGGCAGCAGAGAGATAAAGACCGCGACCGATCATGGTGAGCAAGATGATATCAATCAAGGCCGGGATGGCGAAGACACTCAGGAAGGTAAAACGCTGGTAGCCACGCATAACCTTGGGCTGTTCATCCGGGTTGACATCGATCTGGGCTCCAGCATAGGATGTAGCAAGCTGCGGAGCACCGTTCGCCCAGTTGGGAGGCTGGTGTTCGTTGTAGTAGGCTCTGAACCGATTGGACAAGAGCCTACCGAAAACACTCGGAGAAACATCGAAGTAAGCCTCGCATCGGGAACCAAGAGCGAATGACTCGGCAAATGCGGCAGCTTGATCGGAATGATTGTTAAACAAGGGGTTGCGATCGGTCACTTCCTGGTAAATTTCGTCAAAGGCACCCTTTCTCGCCGCACAGAAAAGCGCGAGGGCCATTATGTCGATATAAGCGTCAACAGAGCCACCCTTGAGAAGTGCGCATAGTCCATTAGTGATAGTAGCAAGGTCATCTTCACGGCGCACTCTCAGAACCCGACCAAGCACAGTGTCGACTTGGTTGAAAAGAGAAAGACATGCCTTGACGGAAGGATGCTTGCACCCTTGGTCTCGGTACCACTCGATACGAGACCTGATCAGTTCCTCGGGGGAGACAGACTGATCGAGGTAACCAACGGTGTTGTGTGCCTTCAACAGAGCGAAAGAAGGAGCATCCATAAGTTGTTTGCGGATATAAGCGCAGATGACCTCGACCAGCTCGCTGTGAACATCGGTCAAAGACAGATGCTGCAACATGAGGAGGCGTTCTTCGGGAGTGAGAACATCGATATCCTGAATCAATCGGCGGGGGAGACCAGTTTCAGCGGAAACATCCTTAGACCAGGTCGCGAAGGTGGCCTCAGCCTCGAAGCAAACATGCCGAGGGAATCCCTTGGCTGACAGATATGTATGGAGAATGGTTCCAGCAAGACCCTGGGCATTCTTGGATACGTAAATCTCAATACCCTCATTATCCATCTCATAGACAGCCCAGAAGCGGAAATCGGAGCTCTTGCGCAGACCAGAATCGAGAGCCAGGTTCACATGCAGGAGATCATTAGAGGCCCAATTCGCAAGTTCCTTGATGGAATTGGCGAGCTCATCTTCATCCCCGGAGAGGTCCAGGCTGTCATGGAATTGGCGAAGGAGAAGTCCGATGCTCTGGATCTTTGCCGTTGGAACAGGATGGAGCAGGTTGAGAGACTTGAGACGCTGCTGGGACTGAACAATTTCCGCAAAGACCATCGGTGATGAGTCGGAACCGAGAGGGAAGCAACCGAGAGACTTGTACGCCATTCCCGACATGGAGATCGAGAGAGGGCTACCCTGCGATTTGACCTGAGCAACCCATTCAGGGGGATCACGCAGTCGAGCAGTCGGGCTTTCGGGGGCCTTGGAGTTGTATTCTTCGGAATCAAGCAGCTCATTAACAGCAGGGAAAAGGGGCTGGAGTGCATCCCAACCATCGTTCATATCAGGCGAAGGCAGGATGTTCAGGTTGGAACGCCAGGTGTCATGAGCCTTCATAATCTCGGCTTCTTTCAACCATCCGAAGGCTGGAAGAGGCTCGAGAGTCGTGATATTCAAGTCCGCATCTCGCAAAGCAGCTTCGGGACCGATCCAGGTAATTGCGCTGTAGAAGCTGGTCCATTGAAGAGATCTGCGAACGATCGCGTTGGTGACCGTCACATTATCGTCAATAGTTTCCCAGGCCATCACAATAAAATCTCTCATGCAAGACTCGGAGACAAACGCCTTAATGGTTGATTGAAGCTCGGCCATGGCGAAGTAGTCGCGCTTCTCGCCCTCAGGCATGACGCTGGCATTGCGAATAACCAAACCGGCAACGGCATCGGTTTGAACAGCCGTTCTGTCTTCCAAGAAATGCGGAGGTGCTGACTCGAGATAGACTGCCAAACCGAGACTGCTAATTATCTCGAGCAACTTTCTGCGAATAGCGGGGGAGAGAACATCCTCCCAGTTGGCGAGAAGGATACCAGAGAACTTTGTTTCATTGAAACTGCTTGCGAGTAGTTCCTCGACCGTCTCGATGACGGTCAGGGCTGAGGACTTCGGGGCAACGAGTCGGGCGAAATCGACGCGCCCCAGTACTTGGCTACGTTCATGTCTGGAGATAGCTTTGGAAACACCGGGCTGGAATGGATCAAGGATAAGAAGATCCCACTCTTCCAGCAGTCGTTCTTGTGAAGCAGTGGGTGGGTTTTCGAACCCACCGAGATATACGCCAAAGCTCAAGGGCTTTCCCCTGCGTGCACGTGTGTCAACAAGGTTGAGCTCACGGTTTGCTAGTTGGGCGAGGCGTTTCGAGATATTTGAGGGAACAGTGTCTGATGGCGGTCTCGACTAGAGATGAACTCGAGTTAATATGTAAAGCATTCGAATTCTCGGGCTGCTGTTACCTTGTAGTATTTCATGAGTCTTCGCGCTCCGGACCATATAATAGATACCGTTCCGATAGTGACGGTTAGTAGCAGAACTCCGATAAATATCTAGAAGAACTGTCAGAACCGCTGTCTCCACGTATCCACCGTGAATGCTCAAGGTCAGGTTGTAAAAGGGACCAGAATAAACATACAAACTGCCACCAATGCCCTTTCATGGCACCCCAGCCCAGGGGGTGGACCTGCACAGGAAGGAGCTCCCTTTCCGTCATAGCGAGGTGTCGAGGTGTCCTCGTCTCGACAAGTGTTGGACGTAATATAAGAGGAACAAGGTCGGAGATAACCTGTTACTAATGGAGCTGAAACGTTCTCAAGCACTCATAGCGACATGGTTGAACGAATGACTATACTTTTTGTCCTCAGGTGTGAAAAGCGACGGATGGCGACACAAGATAGAATTGGAGAAGCACAAAGGAGCTTGGTCGACAGGGTATAAGGTAAAAAGAGTAGTGGGGGGACAGTGGCTAAAGTGAATACCCACTTCTCTAAGCTTCACAGAAAGTAATAAGTTCGCAAGTAATAAGTTCGCCTCCCAGGGTCCCTTGTCAAGTTTGTAGTCAAGGGGCTTGAAAAAAAAATATATATGGTTTCGCCTCTTTAGACTGTTTTAGGACAAAGACCCAAAAAATTAATGATTGGGGGAGTCTAGGCGTTTGTGAGGAGGATATCTAAAAAACACGGGGCAAAAATAGCACACTAAGTCTTTTGTTAGATGCAGGACTAAAAAGGCCTAAGTGACGCACCAGGGCTGACCGATGAGACAGGTGAGTGGGGCCATGCATGCTTCAGTACAGTGCCATGTGTATGTGGCAAAACCATGCGATCGATATCGTGGCCATATTTATTGACCGGAGTCGTCGTTCCGAAGCCTTGGGCCGGGTACCTGAACGCAAGCTGTGCTTCCGGGGAGCTATCCATTCTGCATTCTGGTCTACTAGTTACTGGTCTCAATTCTCATGTATCGAATTCTCTCGTGTTTCGCCTTCGGCTGCAAGAGAAAAAAGAAAATATGAAAATTTAAATAAATTATGCATGCTGTTAGACACGGGCTAGAAGGCAAGGATTCGCGGGACAGAACCGACCGGTAATGGTGAAGCCTTGGCGGCACCCGCAAAACAGAAAGAAAGAAAATGGTGAAATTCGCGTAGCGGGGAAGTGATTTGAAACTAAGAGTGCAGCAAAACTCCAAGGGGAAGTGGGAAGTGGTCGGGAATAGAATTTGGCATACATGTACAGACAGGTATTGCAAATTACACCGTCACACCATACGCGGTACCGTACCCGAGAACCTCGTATTTACTATACATGTCCACCTCCCTAATCAGGTCTACATACATTAATGCCCCTTTCCCCACGCCAAGTCTGGATGTGTTCCGAACTTGGACTTTGTAAGAGCCCCAAGTCCAGGCTGTGCACTCGGCGATAATAGGTCTTTGCGGCGATGCCGAGCCCGAACAGCGCATTCAAATCAATGTGCCTGCTCTCGGAGTTTTTAGCTTGGCGTTGGCGTCTTTCATGTCTCGGTTCGTCGAGTCGATTGCCTAATACAGTCTTTAATACAGTCTTTTCCTTCCAATTATCAGATTATTATTTTTCCCCCAAGACCAAAAAAAGAATTACTCGAATCCACCGAAGCCATGGCGACCCCTGCAGTAAATTTGCTCCCCTGCCCTGCCAAGGACAATTGGTGATTAGCCAATCGTATGCGTGGCCATTCGCTAAAGCACATTACATGTGTCTCTCTAATGCCCCATTCCCAACTCATCGGATCTCGTCTCCCCGGGAAATAGGGCCAATTTGCCGTAGTCAATCCCATCCCATCGCTTGACGCCACATGGAGAACATATGGGCGCAACCTAGTGAGATTTCGGCTCTGTGCGAGATCAAATCTTCTGTACGGACATACTAAAATAGTTAGCTAGAAAAGGCGATAGGTCTTTGCGCCCGTAACCTACTCCACAGGGATTGTATAAAGATGACGATCATGCACTTATGGGTAGACACACGCAAGCCAATTCCATTCGTTTACATACATCGCATCGCATTTCCCTAGCTGTCAGTCGTTAGTGGTACAGGCTTGCATATCTAGCTCCGTGTGACCTTTCAAGTGTGTGCCTGGATACGATCAAGATGGTCGCCGTTCCAGTCTGGGCCCTGAAGGTCGGCTGCTTCTATGGTCTTATAACCTGCGACTCCGCCCCAGGTGTTTGGCCTAAGAGTACTCCAACTGTCATCGCCTACCGTCCCCCGACTTCCACCCCTTCTAGCACTCCCAGCAGCTCTGTTGGTGTGACTAGCTCTACTGTCGTTACTTCTACTCCTTCATTGACCCCATCTGGGTCTGTGTCTGTGTCGTTGTCGTCGTCTCTTGGCGGATCCTCCATTGTCCCCACCAGTACCCCTGCACCCTCTACATTCATTACCGTTTCCTCTTCGGGTTCCATCCCGTCGGGTTCTACTTCAAGCTCTGTCATTGTTACTGTCTCACCTTCCTCGAGCCCTCTTGCTACTTCTACTCCCTCGAGCCCGGCCTCTAGCTCTGCTGTTTCACCTTCTGGAAGTGCTTCTGCTTCCTCTCCTGTGTCCAGCAGCCCGGCTTCATCTAGCCCAGCATCCTCGTCGCCTGTTTCAAGTGCCGCCTCTTCAAGTGCTGTTTCATCTGTGCCTTTGTCCTCCTCAACCGTCTCTTCGTCGTCTGCCGCTTCTTCCACGCCTTTGTCGTCTTCAGCTGCCTCCTCGTCTGCTGTCTCGTCATCAGTTGCTTCGTCTTCAGTAGCTTCGTCTTCTGCTGTCTCATCCTCAGCAATTTCGTCTGTTCCTCTGTCTTCAAGTGCTACCGTGACTCCCAGCATGTCTTCCACTGCTGTCTCCATTTCGGCCTCAGTCTCAGCCTCTGCTACCCCTCTCAGCCACGCTGCTGTCGCAGCTAACATCCTGGTCATCGCCAGAGATGCTGCCTCGGTTGGTGTTGCCAGCTCCGGTCTTAATGCCTACGGTATTCCGTTCACCAGCCTGATTGTTCCCTCTGGTGGTGTTGCTCTCCCTGCCCTCAACGGTACTGCCGGCGGAAACTTTGGCGGTATTGTCGTTGCTTCTGAAGTCAGCTATGACTATGGTACTGCTGGATTCCAGAGTGCCTTGACCACTGATCAGTGGAACCAGCTCTATGCCTACCAGCTCGAGTACGGTGTCAGAATGGTCCAATATGATGTCTACCCCGGTCCCAACTACGGTTCCACCGCTCTTGGTGGGTGCTGTAATGGTATCGAGCAGCTCATCTCCTTCAGTGATATCAGTGACTTCCCCACCTCCGGTCTCAAGACCGGTGCGGGTGTTAGCACCAGTGGTCTCTGGCACTACCCTGCCTCTATCAGCAACACCACCTCGACCAAGAAGATTGCCGCTTTTGCTCCCACTACTGGCTTTGACACCGAGAGTGTCGCTGCCGTCATCAACGACTTCGATGGCCGTCAGCAGATGGCCTTCTTCATTGGTTTCGACACTACTTGGAGTGCTACCTCCAGCTACCTGCAGCACGCATGGATTACCTGGATTACCCGCGGACTCTACGCTGGTCACCGTCGCGTCAACCTGAACACTCAGATTGATGACATGTTCCTCGAGTCTGACATTTACTACCCGGCTGGTAAAACCTTCCGTATTCGCCCCGAGGATATGACCAACATTGCTAGCTGGACTGATATCATCAACGCCAAAATGCCCGCTGGTAGTTCTTACTATGTTGAAGTTGGTCACAACGGTAACGGAAACATCGAAAACTCTTCTTCGACCGACGCTGGCAACACTGCTTGCAATAATGGTGCCATCGAGTACGAGTCGCCTGCCGATACCCCTCTTGAGTGGATCAAGCCCATTGGAAGCGGCACTGACCTGTGGCCCACTACCCCCAAGGCCTACGACTGGAGCGCCACTTGCAGCAACATGGATGAGCTCCTCATTTGGTGGACCACACCGAGCAACCTGAACAAGTTCGGTCACATCTCCCACACCTTCACTCACGAGGAGCAGAACAACGCCACCTACGCTGACGTCCTCCGCGAGATTACCTTCAACCAGGCCTGGCTAGCTGATGTCGGCATTGACAAGGCAGTTCACTACACTGCTAATGGTATTATCCCTCCCGCCATTACCGGTTTGCACAACGGCGATGCTCTCCGCGCCTGGTGGGAACGTGGCATTACCCAGTGTGTTGGTGACAACACCCGTCCTGCTCTTCTGAACACTCAGAACGCCATGTGGCCATTATTCACCACCGTTGAGGCAAACGGCTTCGCTGGTATGCAGGTCAACCCCCGCTGGGCCACCCGTATCTACTATAACTGTGATACCCCTGCCTGTACTCTCCAGGAGTGGATCGACACCTCGGCTGGTAGTGGCACCTTTGCCGACCTCCTGGCCACCGAGAAGGCTGACACCATGCGTCACCTGTTCGGTCTCTACCACGATGGCTACATGTTCCACCAGGCCAACCTTCGCAACGCTGACGTTGACCCCATTACCATTAACGGTGTCAGCGGCAAGTACAGTATCATGCAGGCTTGGGTTGAGACCCAGGTTCAGGAGTTCGTCCGTCTCGCTGAGTGGCCCATCATCACTCTCACCCAACAGGAGGTAAGATAAGATTCTTCACGAAACGTTGGATAGTGTGTTGTTCATTTGCTGACCCGTTATAGCTGTCCGCTTCCTTCCTGGCCCGTTTCAACCGTGACAAGTGTGGTTACTCTCTCAAGTACGCTACCAACAACAAGCAGATCACCGCCATTACTGTCTCTGCTACCGGCAACACCTGCACTGAGCCCATCCCGGTGACCTTCCCTGTTGCTCCTACCAGCACCCAGGGCTTCACCACTGAGCAGCTCGGTGCCGATCCCCTGACCGTCTGGGTCAAGCTTTCTGGCTCCCCGGTCACCTTCACTCTTTCCACTCCCATTTCGTTCTAAAAGCCTCGGAAGAGAATTGACTCGTCTTGATTTGGCGAGCTGATATACTTCCAAGCATTTTGTTGATCACCTAATTTGTCGGATAATGTTGTGGATATTGTTTCAAGATGTCGATAATGGTGTCCATATATGCGAAGGAAAACCCTCTATTTTTTTACTGATACGAAGACTGAACGCCCTACATTTCATAATGCCTGGAAGAACATGAAGTATACTTAAGCTATAATATTCAATGATTTCTTCAGAAAACC